ATGAGAACACTATGCTTAAAAAACATTATGGATAGTAGATAAGTAGGACTTGAAAAAGACAATAAAAATTAAAGCAGCATATGCCTATACTACAATGTAATTATGGATAAACGAAGACGTCTATTGTTATTATTTTATTATTATAAAAATCTCACGTATTTCAAAACAGATGACGTGTAAATAACAAGAACATATTGATAATGCATTATCTCCGCGAGCCGCGATTAAACTGCTCAGCTACAGTTTGTCCGAATGTGAGCTGAACGGTTTAATCTTGGCTAGCCAGAGTGGATGCTTCTGGCATCGCGCAGCTGAGCGAGTTTGAGTGCAACAACAAACAACAGAAAAAACACCATCAGGCGACATGCAATATAATTTACATAGTGAAGACCAAAAAGCATCATCCAGCTAGGTCTGAAAAGCCGCTCCTCAAATACATGTCAAACGGAGAGAACACCTTTTTGATCGAATGATATTCATTTTTTCTATGAATGTGTTACTTAATTTGGTTAATAAAGGACCGCTGATTCCATTCACTTTCCTATAGCAAGAATTGTCAGTATTATCTACCAGTTGTATGTCCGCGCATATTAAGATCCCCAATAGAAGGCAAGCTCAAACCGCACGCCCATGACAATAGGGTTGTCATACTGACAGTGACAAGCACAGATGAGAAATACTCGTGCGTAGACGGAAAATTTTTCGCGGTGGCGACTCGAAACTAAAGAACGTATGTAAGCGTTTACAAAAACACACCTTCGCGCACAGAGGCAAGTTTCATGTGTGTGCGTGAGGGAGATGGACAGATGGAAGATGACAGTAAATTCATTGGTTAACTAACCCGTTATATTTGATCTCTCAACGCTGTTTCTAGCTCTTTACTATCCTGTTTTGTGCGTTTTATGTCCCTTCATATTTGTTTGTCGTGTGTCAAGCAAACAAGGTTAAGCATTGCGGTATAACTACAACTTTCTAGTTTACATATTTTCAGAGTTTACTTCTGGTTAGCTGTAAAACCACAATTAACCTGCAATTGAAAAAACAGGACTTGGTACTTCTACTTACGTATTACACATGACATTGATGACGTAACCGCTAAACACCTTGAAAAGGCCTATAGAACGAAATTACTCAAACCATACATCTGTTATTCCTAACTGAAAATACTCGAACTAATAAATACGAACAGCGCTGTGATTCATTCATGGTTTAACATGAGCTCTCAAGAAAAATACCCGTGTCGCATCTGGAAATTACGTTTCTCCACCAAATGGTCCGCTCACAGTAATTTCTTCTGCATTGCGTATCTTGAAATTAAATAAGGCTTTCTGAGCTCCTTCCCTTGACGTACGAAGACTCGGCTGGTGTTATAAATTACAAATTAAATTTAGTGAAGTAGGCATTTTCTACAGAACATTTGAAAATTGTGAGCGGCTTACGCTGCGGCACTAAAATAAATAAAAAGAACGAAATGAGACAGCTGGCCTTGACAAGACACTCAGTGGTGTAGGTTGTAAGTGATTCCGCGATTTCATTTATAAATGTCATTCTCAAAAAAATGCATCTCGTAGCATGGCATGCCTAAGCTAGTAATTTTTGCGCTCGCACTGGCTTACTCCTCTAGCCAACCAACATACCAACATACTGCCATTGATTAACATATCACACCTGAAGATAGTCAACCTAATACTATAGTCCAGCGTCCGAAAAATAATCCGATATGCAATTAGATACTGGAGGTTCATCTAGGAGGACTTGTCACAGCTGTCTTTCCGCTCCGCACTAATTAGAAATCTATATTGGAAATTATGTTAGTGTCTCATATATGGAGTGGTAGTCAACTATATTAGCATATATTATTAATAAATACTGTTTTATGAGGTTCAACGTGTTGTTCTGAAAATTTCAGAATGGATGAACAAACAGGGGGAAATGGAAGGAAAGAACGAAAATATAAGTTACTTCTATTTATAAACCAACCTCTACTCAGTGTTCAGATGTTCATTTCATGCTAGGAAATGGTAAAAGTTCGATAACCGATAAAATTTTTAATCGTGTTTTAACTTTGGATCTGGAAGCTAACAATTGACAAGCCCTGTACATGTAAAAGCGCTCAAAGTAGCGATACGTTGCGATGAACTGTTAAGGTCGCATGTCCCTTTATTTAACTACCTAACTGGAGCAGTATTCTAAATACTTTTCACCTCATTATTTCACTGTGTGTACAGAAAAACAACGTTACCAATTCTTTTGTAAAAAATGTGTTTGTAACTTATTAAGAAATATTAGTACAGTCCTGAAATTGTTTGTCAGAATTCCTCTTTTATGACAGAATTGAGCGGGTAATTACTTTTATTCGTATCACTTTTTCTCTTCGAAATATCTTTAATGTTCTTGAAGCTTCATTTTGCAGCACTTCGGAAACAAGTACAGCTAGCTCCGGCTAAGATATGCCAAGAATCACCTTCTCAGAATCATGCTCCAATGACAGCACATTATTAGGGAGATCCAACATTCTTGTAACTGATCAACAGTATTTATTTTGTTTAGCCATACCCTAGTTGTTTAAAAGCGCCCCACTAAAAGAAAACCAGGGGGTTCAAATCAGTAGACCCCGCAGGCCAATGTACGCGTCCGTTTCTGCCAATCCATCGTGGTTTAAAATGATTTAACCATGCGGTTATGTCACGACGAACATGCGGTGGGTCACCGTCGTGCTGATATCACATTCGTACTGTCGTTGTGTCGTTGCTAACGGAACATCATTTAACCACAGCCTCCTTCACTGAAAGCCATGAAGCATACATCTGGCAACGCCGCGTGTGGGTCTATCCTCTATCGCCAATCTCGTCCATTTTGCTCGTGTTTGTGTTTTGCTGTGGTTTTGCTCCATTTGTGATTTTGATTTGGACCGCACGTGAATTGATTTGTACGCTGTAGATTTGTAAAGATCTGTTTTCAATCAGCTCCTCATAATTGTTCGCATGTAAGTATAAATTAATACAGTACTGCATTTCATCAGATATAATAATTTCAAGAACCTATAACGTGTTATTCGAACCAAGAACAAAATTTATATAGCATTTTTTTCATTTTCAGTTGCCTAGGTTATGTTGCATGCCAGGCTGCAAATCTAATTATAAAAGTACCCTGAAAAATGAAGAATTACGAACAACTTTTTGTTTTCCAAATGAAGAATCCCTTCAAAAGTTATGGCTGAAGGCTGAAGGCCATTCACCGTGACAACTATTCCATAACAAAACATTCAGTGGTATGCTGCAAGCATTTTACAGAAGGTGAAATAAGGGGCTTTGAGGTTTTTAAGGACAAGGATAGTGTTTTTCAAGAACGCCCTCTAGCACGGCCAACATTGAAAAGAGGAGCTGTACCCCATATATTTGCAAATTTACCAAAATATATGAGTACTCCAGAGCCGAAAGCACGTCGAGATCTAGAGGAACGACAAAAAGAATGCATCCAAAGAGAAACTGATCAAATTGAGGCATTTTTAAATGATGACTTGATTGTAGACTTTGATGAATTCAAATTACTTGTGCAGACAAAAACAGTGTTGAAAAACTGGTGCTTGAAAAATTGTGGTGAAGTGTTTTATTTTTATTTCTTAAATGCTGACTGTGATGTGTTAGAGGAAGGCGTTAAGGTTATCAATAGTATAGTCATTCATTCTGACATGACTGTGCAAGTATTCCTCCATAACACGGACTTATCTCCTAATGACTTAAGGTGGACTTTACCAGAGCGGAAGCTTCAAAAATGGTGTCAGATTGAAAATTTATTGACAAGGTATAGTTTTGCTCAGCATACTGACTTGGATGGTACTTTTCATTTGAAAAAGGCACATGAACATCTGATATCAGCAATTTCAATCTTAAATCAACAAAACAGTAAACATCTCACAACTTTTGAACTTTTAAGGGACCAGCTTTCCCTCATTACATCGAAAAAGGTATATAATATGCCGACTTTAATTTTTTCATAGATTATTTTCAATCAGTCATCTTCAACATATGAACATATTAGAGATTATTTAATTCTCCCTACTAGTAGACGTTTAAAGCAAATTTCTTCAGAGTTTAATGTTTCACAAATTTTAGACAAAGAGAGAAAAAATAGTTACCTTCAACATGCAGCTTCAAATCTCTCTGATAGAGAGAAAATTGTATGACTTTTAATTGATGAAATTTATGTAAAAACTGGTTTACAGTATAAAGCAAAGAATGTGACTGGGTTTGCTGAAAATGATCCAACTAAGCTAGCCAAAACAGTTCAGACATTCATGATATCGTCTGCATTTGCCAATTTTAAAGAAGTTGTACGTCTTGTACCAGTGAATAATATGCCAGCTGATGAACTGTCCCAAATAGTGTTAGTTGTAATCAGATTCATACAAATGGAGGGGTTTAAAGTGTTGTGTGTAATCACTGATAACAATAGAGTAAATCAAAAAGTTTTTAGGTGTCTCTGTAATGTTGATGTATATTTTTCAAATCCATCAGATCCTGCAGAAAAAATTTTTACACTATTTGATTTTGTCCACATATTTAAAAATATATATCATAACTGGTTGAATTTGAAAAATTTTGAGCACACATTTCTGTATCCAAATTATAATAATTTTGATGTTCAAGAAAAAGCTTCATTTGAAAATATTAGAAGCTTTTATAAGAATGAAATAGAAAAATTAACTAAGTTGGCTTACAAATTAAATGATAAAACATTATATCCCAATAATTTAGAAAGACAAAGTGTAGTTTTGGCAAATAATGTTTTCCATGAATCAAATAGTGCATGATTGGGGAGTATCATACATGTAAAAAACACTTTAAATGGTACGCATAAAAGAGATGATCACTCGTGTCCCATCATTCCATTTCACGATGAAAATACTAAATTTTTGAAGAAATTTTTAAATTGCTTGGATGCGTGGCATCAAAATATTCAAAACGTTGGACTCAGTAAAGATACATACAATGCATTGAAACATAGTACAAGTGTTATGATTAAAATTGTAGACTATTCTTTTGAACACTTTCCAGTTGAGTATGTACTTTGTGGGAAATTTCAAACAGATAATTTGGAAAAGAGGTTTGGTAGATATCGATATCTATCTGGATGTAATTATCATATTTCTATCAATGAAATTCTAGAATCTGAAAAGAAAATCAGACTTCAGAATGTTTTGAAGACGTGCAACACAGAATTTGATTTAAAAGAGCTTCGCAATTCTTCCTTAACATCTGAGCAAGATACATTTTCAGTGGATATATCAGACTTTCTTTTTATTTTGGAAACTGATTATTTAATTAGCTATGATGTTGATGAAGCAGTAAAAATATACATATGCGGATGTGGGCCATTCTCTCATAAAAAAAAAATTAGTTGTACAAAATGCCAGGAAAAACTAATTAAGAGCAAAGGTGTAATGTTGGAATTAGATTATTTTGATTATTTACAAAGAGCAGGTCTTTGTATTCCAGCTGATGAGATAGGATATATCTATCATCATGCCTGTGCCATTTTTACTTATATAATTGATCATGAAAATACTTTGAAAATGTTATTTGCCCGATTAGATCATAAAACTATTTTAGGTACACTAATTGTGGAAAGTTTAGAATCAGATGTATTCATTGACCTTAAGATTATTTGTGAATGTGGTATGCCCCATAAGAAAATATATACTGCTACAACATTCATTATATGTAATATTTTATTAAATAACTTTACAAAAAATAAAAACAACTTGTGTCACAAAGAAAAAAGTGACAAGAAAAGAAAACTATTAACTTTGACATCCTAGCTTATAAATAATTAATATTTGTATGCAATAAGCGATTAGTTCTAGGTGAAAAACATATAAAAATTGATAATTTTTCTATTAAACCATCACAATTTTGTTTCATTGATTATTTTCCACCCTTAGACCCATACAAAAATATGTATCCTCATATCCTCGACAATTCACAATAGACCCACTAAGCGAATGCCATGCAATGTTGCCAGATCTAGTTTCATGGCTTTCAGAGTAAAGGAGGCTATGATCTAACACATTTTCTATGTAATTCTCTAGAAAATCTCAGTATGAGTTTGCATTTACACGTTGTGGCAATACGTGCATAAACATTTGGCCACGGAAAATGCCGCACCAGACATTTTTATAAAATCTGCGTTGATGGATTATTACAGAACGCAACGCCCTTGGCCCAATCTCTCAAAAGATATTGCTGGCGAAAACAGATTGATTATTATCGATAACGTCAGAAGAAAAAATTCCATCAGCATCAGCGGCCCTTTTTTGACGCTTGAAAGTATTTAAAAAAAGTGAAGTATATAATAGATATCCGCCTCTATTGTGGTACCATGGAGAATAATATTATTGTAAATGCGTTCAACCATTAATCACTCCTCTTGGAATTTTTTTATGTGGAAAATATTATCTCGGTGAGCGGTAGGCGTCCGGAAAAAAAGGACTAATTCCGTTGACAAATTGTTTTTAAACGACTTCGAATACAGAGATTTCTTCAATAAGGCACATAAAAGTCTTACCTACTATAAATCGCGGCTGTTGAATTAAATTCGCATTTATCGGTCGGAATCTGGCAGCAAAAAATGACTGCGTCTTAATGATGTAGAGGTTTTGAAGAAGAAATACGCTGGTTCAAGGTATTAAGGCGGCATTACACGCTACGATAAATGCGAGCAATCTATCATAACGATCGAATTGTTTCAATTGATCGTTGTGTGTAATCGGGACATCGTAACGATTTATCGGAGTTGGAGTTGGGTTGGATGGTTGATCCGAGCCCTGATCAATTTCGGCGAATCGTAATGATATGTCTGAACATGCAATCAGGTGGCAGCCATTTGTCGCTACAAATTAACTCAGTTTGCGTTTTGACCGTACGGCGTCAATTTATTTTTTCTTTTTGGTACGAATTGGCAGACGCACCTATGGCAGATGCACCGAAACAAACTCCTCGAGAGTTTTTGACAGAGTTCATTGATCTTTATCAAAGTTTTACGTGTTTGTGGCGCGTCAAGAGCAAAGAATATTCTCACAGGAATAAAAAAGATTTAGCTTATATTGAGTTAAATACCAGGAGTTTGATCCATCGGCGGATAGAAACACTGTTGTTAAAAAAATTAATGCTTTACGTACGGTCTATAAAAAAGAATTGGCTAAAGTTTACAAATCGGAAAAATGCGGGACAGGCGCGGATGACATCTATAAACCTATGTTGTGGTACTTCGACCTGCTGCATTTTTTGAGAGACCAGGACTCTGCAAGACCTAGTAGGAGTACAATGAGTGATGCGGATCAAGAAACACAACAAGATGTAAGTAAAAATGAATTTTTATTTAGATATAGCAAAATTTATTGTTATAACAAGTACATGTTGACGGCACAAACTTATTAAAATCTCAAAATATCTAGTTTATATAATATGGTTTTAACTAATGAACTGTAAATTTCAAACATTCAATGCAAATGTTTCTTGTCCAGGAATTGACCCCTCCCCGTTAAAATACGCACATAATTTGTCTCGAACGGTTTTCGCTTGTTGCAAAACTTGACCTCCTGAACGTTTTTCGAGATTGTGGAACATATCAGTATCAGGCGTTGTACTTGGTGGCTCGGTACAATCAATAATATTTTCTTGATAAAAACTTTCAGGAGAAGAGAAAGTAGATGATTTTGTCCTCAAGAAGTTGTGCAATGCACAGCAAGCAAGAACTAGTGATTCGATGGAATCCACATTTAAATTGATTGCAGTGTAAAAAACACGAAAACGTGAAGCTAAAAGTCCAAAACTGTTCTCAATTACTCGCCGTGCTCTCGATATACAATAGTTGCATATTCTTCTCTCGTTGTTAAGGGAATCCCAACCGTAAGGCTTAATAAGATTTAATAAGATCAGGTCTTAATGCAAAGGCATCATCCCCCACAAAAACATATGGCAGGTCAAGATCAAAGCTTACTGGTTCGGGTCCAGGGATATTTATACTAAGTGACATATAAATCCGAACACCCAGTTTAAATGGTTTTATTTTAATAAAAGTTGGTGAATGTACTTATCTTACTGTAAATAACAAGTGAAAAAATTTTCAGCCTTATCAGTTGGACATTCCGGTTTTTATACTGCTTTTTTTTAATTCACTAACGCTCTAAAAATGAATATTTCAGCCGCAGTAAAGAATCAACGTTGGCGGATTTTGGTTCTTGACATCCTTTACGATCGGTTACGATGCCTAGAGTACGGAGACCTGTACGATTTCGTCAACTTAGTGAGTTTGATAAGGGCCGTATAGTGGTACTTCGGGAAGCTGGACTTTCTTTTCGGGCAATTGCAGTTAGAGTGCAAAGAAGTGTAGGCACTGTCCAACAAGATAATGCCCGACCACACGTTGCAATAGACTTCTTTCAACATAATGATGTCACATTGATAACCATGGCCACCAAGATCTCCCGACTTATCCTCAATTAAGCACGTGTGGGATATGATGGGTAGGAGATTGCTCAATTTGCAACGTCCTCCTCAGACTCTAGAAGCACTTCGAGAGGAGTTGGTGGTTGCCTGGAATGAGATACCACAGGAGGACATTTACCACCTGATCAGAAGCATGCCTAGGCGCGTTGGAGAATGCGTAGCACATCAGGGTGCATCCACACATTATTAAAGGTCAAAGGGCTTTAAAGCAGTGCAATCATTTTGAAATTTTTATCATTTACTTATTATGCTTCATTAAGTACTTATACAAAAATTTTATTAAAATAAAACCATTTAAACTGAGTGTTCGGATTTATATGTCACTTAGTATAGTTGATTCTTTGTAAGTTTGTCATAAAAACGAATGTTATTAATCACACCTCCATCAGATATTCTACCGTTCGTTCCTATATCACAAAGTATAAATTCGCAGTGAGCGTTTGCTATAGCCATCAAAACTATACTGTGTGAGTTCTTGTAGTTGAAGTAGTATGAACCACTATGCTTTGGTGGAACAATCCGGACATGCTTTCCATCGATCGCTCCTAAACAATGAGGAAATTACCACTTCTCTTCGAAATCTAGGGCAATTTAATACCACTCATCGGCTATTTTAGGGAACTGAAAAAAAATTGTTTTTGATAGACACATACACACACGCAAAATGTGTTATTGTGTTGACACTACTCTAAATTTCAAAATAAAAAGTTTTGAATACAAATAAAAACATAAGTTAAATAATACTTGAATATTATCTACAAATATATTTTCTCGGCAATAGGTGAACAACTGTTTCTGTCACCTGCCAAATGTAACCGTTCATAAGTTTATTGGAAACTGATATTTGTTTTATTTCCAACAGGAGCGTGTAAACAGTACCTCACCGTGGATTTATCGGAGCAATTAATTTGCCAATCACATCATCGATAAATCGCGACGATATCTCGTAGCGTGTAATGCTGCCTTTACAAAAGAATTTTATTACTTTACAGAGTAAAACCCGTTATATCATTGTTTTTCAAAAGTATCTCTCTGAGGTAAGTAGTGATACTATTTTTAATAAATTGCTCTGTAATTGCTGTCATATCAAGATGGATATTGTATCAGGTTTGATCTTTGTTTCGAGCAGGATCCAAATCTTTATTTTTGATTGGGACTTATTGTTTTTTATCTTCCATTATGTACACAAGAGGCTTATTCTAGGACATGCTGTATAGGTGTATCGTATCTATACCAAACGAAAATATAGATGAATTGTATAACAGATACGGCGACTATGATGACGTAATGATGCTGCTGCTGTACCACTTTCATACCTTTTTGTGGTTCAGAATTTTGTCGCTGTTTCAATTGCTATTAGATCTGCTATACTCGTATAAAAGACCGTTTTTAGAAATCTTTATTCAAGACGCATCTTGTAGTAAACACGTCCACATCTGCAGGAACCCTACCCTACAGCCTCTATTCTGCTGCCTTCCTAAAAGCCTAAATAAAGAAATACAAGTTTCTACTGACCTTTCCTTTTTCTTCTACCGCCCTTAATTCTTTTCTGTACGAACAAAGTTCCTTCGTGGCCGCAAAACTTTTCGAATATCTTGACGAACACATGCTGCGTTTCAATCAGGTCCAGAAGGTAGGCGTCGGACATTTTCAGTTCATCGTAATTAACCAGGAGAGTCAACACAAACTCCCTGCAACCAAGCAGAGAAAGGGATGTATAGCGAGCGAGAGCTAAGTAGCAAGGGTCAGCTGAATTCAATAGTACAGGCAAAATATGGTTTACGTCCAGATTTTGACATAAGAAGATCGTTGTGGAACACGCAAGAAAATTACCTCCTACCATCATATCGTCGGTCTCCGCACGTACCGGCGTAACTAACATTTTACAAATTTTACAGGAGAGCTAGAAAACGAAAATAAGCAATAAATAAGATCGAAAATGACATATTGATTTTTAGTCTGCACGTTGCTGTTTTCTGTTAGACTAAAATTATGTATAGCTTTGTTTTGGGATGGTTTAATTTTGTAATAGTAAATTAGTTTAAAAAATAGTTTTTTTTACATTAACGCCACTTCCTGACATAGATTGTTTTTCTTTTTAAAACCCACACTGCACTTTTTTGTATTCAAAGAAGGTGTTCAAAATGTCGTCCTCCATTTTCCACACAAGCTTCATTACGACGAACCCAGTTTCTGCTCACTCTAGGACCTCGAAGTTATCTATTCATTATTTCAACCGCATTACAAATTTATTACAAATTTTTTCGCGAAGTTGTGCTTCAGTTGTTATTGGACCAGCCCCATAAATTATCCCTTTTAGGTTCTCCCCGATACCAGAAATCCATCGGATTGAGGTCAAGAGATCTTGCTGGGCATTTTCGAGGATCAGGAGCATTTCGACCGATCCAGCGATTTGGATAATGTTCATTCAAGTACTGAATGACGCCGTCAAAAATGTGTGGTGGTGACCCGTCATGAAGAAAGCACAAATTCTGTCTCCGTTGTAATGGCATGTTGTCTAAGGTCTGTTCCAGAAGTTCTGGTAGGTTATTTTCTAGAAAGCTAAGGTATCCTTCTCCTGACAACTTTGTAGGTAACTCGAAAGGGCCAAATATTTATTCTAACACGTTGTTGGAAATGACCTTCACGAATGGTATGAGGATTTTCTTGGGCCCACATGTGAGTATTAAGGAAATTTAATATCCCATCTCTGCAAGAGGTTTATAGGATAAAACACACGGTAGTTGATGTTGGATCAGTAAAATCGCATATCAATTGAAGAAAATAATATAAGCATGAATAAACTATGGACAATATTAAATAAAAACATGCATTTTTATCAAAGATCGTGCACTTTTTTAAATTTTGACTAAATTATATGTAATTTTTAATATTCAATAAGCTGGCGATGTTTCAATGACATCATCTCATACTTCGACAGTATTTTGTTTTCAAAATTTCATAGCTATTGGCAGCTAAAATTTGTTACCCTATCGGTGGAGAATAACGGACTGTTGATTTGACAATCCTGGTGAAATCCACCCTAAAGCTAGTAATCTAGCCGGGAACTAAATTGTAGTAGGATAGGTCGAATACCGGATATCCGTTGCAACTCTGCACAAATTTATAAGTAGTTGAGAACCTCTCTAACTGGTGGAGGAGAATATGTGGGGTGACCAATGTTGAATAAGGAAGTACATTTTCCCTGTACTGTATAGAACGTAGGCGTTCGCTATACTGAGGTTTATTTGAAAGCATTTTCACTAACTGGGCAAATAAATAGAATAAATATACTCATGTTAATACACATTTCATGTACGTATTTACTTTTGGAAATTGCTACTTCAATTAGGGGTACTTTGGTAACTGCATTTTGGGTTCATAAGCTTCCTCTCAATGAAAGCCAAAAATGTCTCGGAAAAAATTAGTAGAAGATATGCAACAATAGAGTTTCGTAAAATACTATGTCTGTGCCCTTGTGCATATTTCTCATAATATTCGCACATAATTACAACTGATGTAACTCTTCTATTACAACGACTATATATGAAAATCCAGTCCCAGATATTGTATTTTTGATATCGGACAGTTAATTTGGAGGCTATGACTAAGGACATAAACATACAAATGTGTCGTCAATTTAATTTCTGGTCATGTTTACGTCAACAGGCGTCAAAACGTGATGAAGTCGTGAAAAATAGATTATCAGATGCGTTTTTCCCACCTACTTTTGACAGTTTGACCTCCAGCCATAAAAGCGCCGCCCAGCGTGAACAAGAATGAATATCACTGCCATTATAATATATATTCTTTAGCCAGATGAGGAATCAAAAATGAATAATAAATACGTTATGATAAGTTTTAGAAATCACAACTTACCGGTACTCTGGCACATATAAAATGTTGCTCTTAATGACCTTGGAAGAGTCTCTAACGGTTTCATCTGTTGAACGATCCATAGCACAAAGTGTGAGAAATAGCTCCCTATAAGCCAACAATGCCAGATGAAGTCGTCTTGACCACAGTCTTAACTTCTTCTTGCACGTGGACATGAGATCGTAATAATTTTCACTCAGTTGTTGGACATAGTGGAATGTCTGAACGGATGTGGTCTCACTGTAACAAAATGTTTATTAATGGCTTCAATAAAACTCCCACTTTCTTCCATAATTTCTGGACATTATTATGCATAATGGAATGATGCTTGCTGAAGAATCACTTAATATCGCTATCCCTTAACCGTTATCCCTCATGCGTTCAGTACGAGGGATCTCTTTTAAGTTTTGCATATAGAAACATCAGTGGTGAATCTTAACCTTACTCTTTAGTAAACTTGAATTCAAAGTTTAACAACACGTGCAGTGTTCTCACTACAGTGAATTTTTAAGTATCAATTATCGCAACAAGAATGCCTTGCTGAGTTACTGTCTGTTTTCGGCAACGAAGCGCCACATCAGTCGACAATTTCCCGTTGGTATGGAGAAATGAAACGTGGACGGGTGAGTCTTAGCGACGATCCCAGGGTGTGTGCACCAAAACGGCAGACACCCAGGAAAACGTCGATGCTGTGCGCAAACTCATCATTAAAGATAGACATGTGACATATCGCGAGATTGAGGTGTCCTTGAAGATCTCAAAGACTGCAATTCAAAAAATTTTACATGAAGAATTAGGAGTAAGAAAATTAGTTTCTCGTTGGATACTCCACCAGGGGACTGAAGAGCAGAAAGCAGCCAGGGTTAATTGGTGTCAAAAAACGCTTGACTGTTTCAATTCCGGAAACTCAAAAAATGTGTACAGCATTGTTAGTGGTGACGAATCGTGGATTTACTGTTAGAAACCAGAAAATAAACGACAGTCGGCTGTTTGGGTGTTACAAGGTGAAGAAAAGGCAACAGAAGTCATCCGTTCTCGAAGTGTTTCGAAAAAGATGGTCGCGACATTTGTGTCAAAAGCGGGTCATATTACAACAATTCCTCTTAATGAGCAAAAAACTGTTACTGCGGATTGATATACCACCTTTCGTTTGCAAAAAGTCATCACCGAACTTCGAAAAATCAACCCCGAAAGAAGAATCATCCTCCACCAAGACAACGCAAGCTCGCACACAACCCAAAAAACACGGCAGTATTTAACGGAAGAAAACGTGGAATTATTGGACCATCCTCCATATAGTCCCGATCTAAGTCCTAACGATTTTTTTACTTTCCCGAAAATTAAAAACAGACTGCGTGGTCAAAGGTTCCAGTCATCAGAAGAAGCAGTTGACGCATTCAAAAATGCCATTTTGGATCTGCCAGCAAACGAGTGGAATAAGTGCTTCGAAAATTGATTCGCGCGCATGCAGATGTGTACAGTATATTCAGATAAGAGATAGACCGGATGTAAACAAATGGTTCGGGTGATTTTCACGCTAACGCTGCCGTCTCGACGTAAAACAGGAGCCCTCATTGGTCAATTCGCAATTAAATGCCTATGCCGAGCGGCAGAGCAGTCGTATCAAGGCAGAGTCACATTCAGGTTCAGACGTGTTACGTATGTCGTGTGCATCATTGCAATTTGATATTTCTTTGGACGTTTTCGTTTGTTATTAAGTTGTTGAGTTTGTCGTTGTTATTGTTATAACTTGTTATTGATTGTTATTGTTATCAACTGCTTGCGCAAAATGCCCAAGTAGTACAGATACTGCCGATGAAGTTGTAAACTCCTGTAGTCCACCTAGGAAACGCTCTAAAAAAAGACAACTGAGTGCAGAAATGAAAGAGGTCATTTTGAATATATATAAGATCGAGCGCGAGGAGAACGAGGCATCAACCATCAAAGAAATTGTTGTGAAGGTTTCTCACAAAGTTGGGGTGTGTCGCGCATCAGTGTTTAATGTGTTAAGACAATACAAAAAAAGTCACACCTTTTCTGAGCCAATGACCAGTAAACATCGCAAAAGTATTGTTAAATCATTGGATAAAGCTGATAAGCATGCGATTAGGAGGAAAGTGCATGAATTCTTCTTTAGGAATGAAATACCTACTATAGATAAAGTACTGCAGGAGGTAAATGGAGATACAACGTTGCCAAATTTCAAACGATCAACTTTCCATGCGTTACTGAAGCATTTAAATTTCAAATGGAAAAAACGGGGTCGTAATAGTTTACTACTGGATAGAGAAGAAATTGTGCTATGGAGGAGGGATTATTTAACAAAAATTGGGAAATATAGAAATCAGAACAGGAAGATTTATTACCTTGATGAAACGTGGGTAAACGCAGGACACACTACAAGTAAAGTATGGGTTGATGATTCTGTAACTTCATCCAGGACGGCCTTTCTAGATGGACTGTCCACCGGATTAAAAAATCCAGCAGGTAAATACGAGTAATAGACAACAATCGGATGTTTTTCAAACCTTGGGAACAAGGTTCTAAACATTAATTCCAGGGGGCAGATAAAACATATTACAAGTAACAATACTTTTATAACTTTCGATAAAATGCGTGGATGTTTTATTGCCATTTTCATTTGTTAGGACTTTTTTAAGCCATGTTTTTATGTGTTTTCGATATTTCAATAATTTTTTAATATAATCTTAAAATATGTCGAATATTATAAACTTAAAAAAAGTTACTAAGTTTTATATTGTGTACCGTTCCTAATATTTCTAATCATTTTAATTCATACTTTAAGCTTTATAAAGTTATAATTTGTTAATATTAATATTTGCGCGTATTTCAGGTTCCTGATCATTCATTTTTTAAAGGTTTATAACTTTAAATTAAATTGTGAAGCGCTGAGGTAATCATACGACGTTCAATATTCTTGTTTTCAATATGACTAAATAATCCCAATTATAGCAATCTGATACCACGAGGAAATGAATGGCGAATCGTTTTAACAGTAGTTTTCAAAAATTTTACCGAACATAGAGGAAAACGCAGCAATTGTGTTGGATAATGCGCCTTATCATTCTCGAAGAATGGAGAAGGTCCCAACAACGGCTTCAAGGAAAGTTGATGTTCAAAATTGGCTCCGCTCGAAAAATATCAACTTTGAAGAAGCAATGCTGAAAGTACAATTATTAAGAATTGTCAAGGATCACAAGGCGGAATATCAAAAATACGCCATTGACGAAATGGCAGCAAGTCAAAATAAAACTGTGCTCCGTTTACCTCCATACCATTGCGAGCTCAATCCCATTGAGCTCATATGGGCAGAGGTTAAAAATTATATAGCTAAGCACAATACAACTTTTAAATTTTGTGACCTCAAAGGACTTTTCAAAGAAGCACTAGAATTAATAACAGCGCAAAAATGGGAAAACTGTATTAAGCACGTGGAAGACAAAGTTGAAAAGAGAATGTGGGAACTGGACAATATTTTAGAGGAACAAGTCGAGCCATTCATTATTGACGTTGGTGCTTCAGGCAGTAGCGATGATGAAAGCTCATCAAGCTCATCTTTCCAATAAAAGATGTCGTTCATCAAATTCGGTAAGTTATAAGTAATTATAAAGCTACTGTATTTTTTAATTAATTATTGACATTTTTGAACCCATTTTGGCAAAACCTATTCAAGAATCTACTTTCTGACAATGTTCAACCATGCACATTTTTTTACGTTTTGAACGTTTTGATTTGGTTACATATTTACCTAGAAATCAAAAAATATACTAATCAATATTCTAAAAGCAATTTTAAGAGATATACGATTATTTTTAATTTAGGCTAATTTAAACGCCATTTTGAGATTATATTCGACTGTATTTCACCAAACATCAGGCGGCATCCGAAGCTGGAAATCGAAGCGAAAATTTTGAAACCCTTATGTATATTTACATCATTATATATTTCTTACCCCACCCCCACATGATCCTATATCCATCACCAATCGTATACACATCGAATTGTGCTAATTTACTACAAAGATACGCAAAGCAGCATCTACTATCTAAAATATGTACTGCGTGACTCTTAATACGTCCCTGCCGAATGTTACAGCGTTCGATGATCACGTGGTCTTGTTTATGTCCGGTCTATCTCTTATCTGAATATACTGTAGTAATCTTAGTGGAGAATACTTCGAAAAACAATAAAGTCATTTAAAACTACATACCGTGTTGTTTTATTTCCATATGCAAAACTTAAAAGACATCCCTCGTAACTTTTGGCTTTGACGTTTCGTAGTCTGCCTTAATAGACATCAAACTTGCATCCGTGCATGCCTAGCCGATGGCAGCCGCCAAGTCTTTTGCCACAAAAAAAATCGTGACAAATGACAGAAAGCCTTCGTGATATCAAGAACGATGACCTAAACCTCTCCATGAGTGGATGAGCTTCGTTCGCATGTCGTCGCCTGTATTGTATGTCCAAATTCTTCATATTTCGGATTCTATCACGATGTTGTAGCTCATACTACATACCTTGCACGCAGAGCTATTGTAAGTCCATGTGCAAGGGTTCCCCCACCACTGGTCTTAAACGATATTTGGCATAATACGTTGAGGTGCGTCACTTCGCTGCAGAACTCATGATAAGAGCAGATACTCACTTACAGAACTACTGTAAGTCCAATGTCATCAACAATTATAAGTCCACTTTCACGGACTTGTCATACTTTTTTTCCGGAAAAGCATTCTATCTTCAAAATTTCTCAGAAATGTTAGGCAAGTCCGCCAATTTATTCTTGAATAATCAAAAAAGTTGTAATGGATCCCTTCAGACACGAAAAATAGCTCTCCTGTGAAAATGGGATTTTTTGACTTCAAGCGACGATATGTGTAGCGTAAGCTAGGGTCCTCAGTTGACCTCTTATGTCTGAAACCACGCTGTCTGCCGTTAACCAAGCAGTGACTTCTCATCTTTTTCGTGTTCACAACAGACCGGTAAGCCCATACCTGCTGGTCAGTTTTCAATCTCTTTCTGGAATAAGGGCGAGAGGGATTATGAAGGAGCTTCTAGACCCTGGAAAAATACTTGAGTTTGTAGAGGCACAGGGCTTGCAATCGGTAACAGTAATGACATATCAGCCGAGAAAAGCCGGAAAGCCACCCTCAATTTTCCTCTGAACCTCTTTGCCAGCATTCAGATGGAAGCACTGCCACTGGGCAATAGGTGGCCGGTTGACGAATAACTAGTTCAAGCAGCTGTTAGGCCCTAGGTTTATGTGATCTCGCGGTATATGAAATGTATTTCTCCATGCAGACATGTATGTTTTGCTATTAACGGACAGATGATCCAAAGCAGTTACTAAAAGGAAACTGGACAAATGTGCAGTAGGGAAGAGGATGTGTGGTCAGAAAGAGATACAAAAGATTGCTGGTGAAAGCAGAAATACAAGAACAGGAGGTAGGTCCGGGTATCAACTATGACAGTCCCATACTACTGCTAAATTTACTATGTGGGCTACTAGGAACTACAAATACTTCATATATAAGTGTTTCTTAGATAAGTGGGAAGCACGATTTTCTGGCCAAATGAAAGCACATGAATGAATGCTAGAAACAGAAGGTACTTCGACACCGGTTTGGCCTTGAGATAGCGAAGAAAAACGTCTGCATATTTGGGATCCAATAACAAACCATGAGAAGCAAACTGTTGTGTCATGTTATTTTCACAAGACAAACATAATTATGCCTTTAACGTGGCAAAGTACTTTTCTTGCATCGGATCCATGAGCAATACAGATGCAGTATTAGTAGACAGCCGGAAGGGGGGGGCGAGGTCTGCGCGATATAGGACCATGCAGGCTGTTCTCACAATACACTGTCAACTGGAAGACAAATAAACATAAAATATCTTAGCATTTTGTGGGTACTTTGAAAACGTCACTAGAAATAATGGAGTTCTATCAGTATTTAAGCCACAGGATAAGCTTCAGGTGTTACAACGATATTCTAGGCTCCATTTTCCATTCAATCTTTATCCATGTAGTTTATTGCATTTATCTCTAAACTTACAGCATGCACTGCTGTGTGGAAACTTGGAAACCGCAATATCCCTTCCAAAGAGCGTACAGCTTGGCCAGGGTGCAATTCTGCGATCTGCGCCGTGCACAGCACAATGCAGGAAAAGCTCGGCCGCCGGGATGATTTACTCCAGAATTAGTCGGTCGGGTGTTGTTCCAGAGGAACTTCCTACCCCATTCAAGAGCACGGGGCACGTTGGCTTATCAGCGGCCAGCCTGCGGTTAATAAACGGCCGACGCACAGATACGACGGTGGTGGGCTATTAATTAAAACTCACTCGGTTAACACGATAAAATAACGTGCTTGACTGCCTGACGAAGGCTTCAGGGTCCTTTTAAGTGGGTCGTATCATAATATTTTTGCATTTTGATATTTCAGAAAATATATATTTTAAACTTGCACCAACATTTTTCTCTTTATTTTATTGCTTGATTATTTTTTAATAGCCCACACTCCGCAATTTTGACATTTTTGCCCAGAATTCACTGACACATGTCACGTGCCAAAATCGAGTAACCTTTTTTTACTAATTTGATCACTTATCAGTAATTTGAATTTCTCTTTATTAATAGTATAGTACCGATTCCTAGTCCCCAACTCTTTTAATGATATTCTTTTCGGAAATTTCATAGTTTATTGATTGTATAATTTCTCGCGTATTATATGTCATTCTCAGCGACTCAATATTGTTTTGAAATCTTTTGGACACTAATGTTATAGTATCATTAACGACTATCTTAGAAATTTCCTAATAAAATATGGCTGGACTCTCGTACGGTAGGCAACCGTGTAATTTTTACACGTACTAGCTGTATACGAATGTTTACTTTTCTATCAAGATACCTTCTGTTAAAATTTGATTTACTATCAAGATACCTTCTTTACCGGCTTTTTTCTGTTCCTTTTGATTTTCTGTCAAATTTGCCTTCTTCAAGGCCACTCATTTAACCTGTTTTTGACGTCTGATTTCCGATCAAGTTGCCTTGTCTCGAAAACTTGGTGTATAGACGCGTCCAGCACCATTTTTGTAATTTACTTTCCTGCGGAGATTGTGTGCGGGCGTTTTTTTCGTCAACCTCCAGATTTTGGGATATTAACGCCCCAAACACCAGTTTATGGAGTAGTACCCTTTTATTTTGTACCTTACGTTCAGTTGTGTTGGTTTAGGTACTACCCGTCCATTTTGTAATGGGATTTTAACCTCCAGCGGTAAGTTCTCTTTTGTCCATTAATGCTTGTCCTGAAGAAGTTTATTAAATATTTGCTTCCTTTTAGTCGAAAGCCATATTCACTCTCCTGCAGCTTAGTATTGCAGCTGCCTTGTAGCTGTTTCATAGTCGATTTTGTTGGAAGCCATCCCTTCACCTTGATAAAAAAAAACTTGTTGTGAACAGGTAAAACATATCGTTTTAATTGGGTATTTCATAGATATCGATATTTTGATTTTGTTTGGCATTTTTACTCAAAAATAGGGTAGTGCCTACATGTAACTGTCTTTTGAGCTTATTACATTACATTAATCATGATTTTGAATTTTGAGCTGCCATAACTTATTTTAGATTAAGGAATAGCTTAATGAGGGCATATCACTTTGGCATATTTTTATCTTTTCTTGCTCTTACAGAAAGAAATGTAAATTTCTAGTAACAGAGCATGTACATGATTTTTCTTCCAGTTTAAGTGTTCTAAATGAGTAGTTCTATCTCAGACAGAAAATAGAGAGTAGATTTTTAAACAATATTTCTCTTATAAGCTGTGGACATCTCAGCTGCACCTAGAGTTGTAACTGGAAGAAGACCATTATCCAGATAAGACCGTTGTCCAGAAAATTTTAGGCGTTTAAATATTTTGTAAACGCTTTATTTGTAAGGCATTCGCACGTGTACCATGGTAAACGTTTTGCAGGGTTAATTATCACGGTCTATCAATTTTAGATAGATTTCATTTATAGTGATTTATTAATAGATTAATTAATTTCATTTTAAAAAACAGAAAGAGGAATCACACCACCATTTCCTCTTATTTATAAAAGGCGTGGCACATCCAACTTAATATTTTTATCCGAGCGCATGTTCGCAACACTTTCTCCTTCAAATGTGTAATAAGGCACACGGAAACATGAAACAAATATATGAAAATCGAAGCGTACCCGAAAATGGATCCGTTATCGCTGCACAACGAGCGTTCCGTATGCAATTTGAAATTCCTCGTAACCGACCAGTGCCAGACCGAAAATCAATTGTTTTGTGGGTGAAAAATTTCAGAGCAACTGGAACTGTTATCAGGAGAGGAGGTGGACGTCCACGAACAACTCGGACGCCCGAAAACATAGAGTCAGACGCTCAGTGGAACACTCGCCCAACCGCTCTGCACGCAGACATGCAGACGCCCTTCGCCTCTCTAATCGCTCTTTACGAAGAATTCTTCATCAAGACCTACATTTTCATCCATACAAGATGGTTATTGTACAGGAATTATCACCACGTGATTGGAACAATCGACTAGCTGCATGTCAAGACATGATTGCAAAGTTACCTCAGGAGGCGGTTTTTTTTAGTGACGAGGCACATTTTTATTTGTCTGGCTGCGTGAACAAACAAAATTTTCGGTTCTGGTGTGCCGAAAACCCAAGAGAGATACACGAAAAGCCTCTGCATAGTGAGAAAGTCACAGTTTGGTGCGCCGTGTCAGAAACTGGGATAGTTGGGCCTTACTTTTTTGAAGAAGGTAATCGGGCTGTCACCGTCAACTCGGAACGCTACGTAGCGATGATTCAGAATTTTTTTGTCCTAGCTCTTGCAGAATTCAATGTGCAGAATGCCTGGTTTCAGCAGGATGGGGCGACAGCCCACACATCCCGAGCATCATTAGGCATTTTGAGAGAACTGTTCCCCGGACGCTTGATCTCCCTTAGAAGCGATATTCCTTGGCCTGCGCGCTCTCCGGATTTGTCGCCTTGCGATTTCTTTCTGTGGGGCTATCTTAAGGCTCAAGTCTTTCAACATCGTCCAAGGACCTTACCACAGCTGAAGGAGGCAATCCGTCTGTAAATTGGCCGAATACCGCAAGCAATGTTAGTTAGAGTTATGTAAAACTTCATAAAGCGCTTGCGGCAATGCTGTGATAATGGTGGAAAGCACCTTGCCGATATTATTTTCAAAACCACATAAAATAAAACTGTTTGAGTTGCACTTTTAAGATTTCAAAATAAATCCATAGTATTCCAAATAACATTTGTGTTATTAAGCTTTGAA